TCTTGGTTATACCATTTAAAAGCCAAATCAGACACCTTTACTGCTTTCTGTCACTTCAAGAAACATGTTGAAACACAGTCTGACAGAAAAATCAAAATGGTTCAAAGTGATGGAGGGACTGAATTCAAAGCCTTAACCACCTTTTTTTCTTGAAAATGGAATAAACCACAGGATATCTTGCCCCTACACACCAGAGCAAAATGGCTTGGCTGAAAGGAAGCATAGACATATTGTAGAAACTGGTCTATCACTCCTTTCTCAAAGCCACTTACCTCAAAAATTCTGAGATGATGCATTCACCACTTCTTGTTTTCTCATTAACAGAATGCCCACCAAAGTCCTCAACTACAAAACACCATTGGAACTGCTAACTGGTAGGAAACCCATTTATCAGACCTCAAAATTTTTGGCTGTTTGTGTTACCCTTATCTAAGGCCTTATAACAAAAACAAACTTGAGTTTAGAAGTCAACCTTCCACTTTCATAGGATATAGTAACCAGTATAAAGGTTATAAAATCCTTTTACCTAATAACAAAATCATTGTTACAAGGCATGTTCAGTTTGATGAATCCAAATTTCCCTTCCTTGATAAAAAACAAGCCACCAGACCCTCTGAAATTCATCAGCAAGCTACCTACAATCCTCTACCTGTAGTGCCTAAAATCACAACTGCAGAACCTGAAACTGTCCCTTCTCAACACAGTTCACCTGTTACTCATCTCTCACCTCAACTAAACAGCCCAAATTCCCAAACCACTCAGTCCTCACAACATAGTTCTATTCCTATTGGTGAAATATTTATAGATCTGCCAATTACTAGTGATAATGAAAATGTTTCTAATCCTGATGTGATTAATAATGAGAAAGGCAGGACAGGTACCCATCATATGGTCACCAGATCAAAACATGGCATATTCAAGCCAAAAACTTTCAGTCTTGAGACAAGCCAACCCATCAGATTCATGCAAAGTCCTGCCTTGAAAAGAGTCCTCAGATACCTAGTCTTGAGACAAGCCAACCCATCATATTCAAGCCAAAACATGACTAATCCTGATGTGATCAATTTATGCAAAGTCCTTCAACCAGTCACATGAAAGCCTTGAAAAGAGTCCTCAAATACCTAGCTGGCACTTTGGATTATAATCTGAAGTTTTTCAAAGGTCCTTGCTCTAAAATCACAGCCTTTGCCAACGCTGATTGGGCCTCTGATGTTGATGACCGCCGATCTACTTCAGGATTTTGTGTTTTCATTGGACAGAACCTAGTGGCTTGGAGTTCCAAAAAACATAAACTTGTTTCTCGATCTAGCACTGAGTCTGAACTACGAAGTTTAGCTTCCGCCACTTGTGAAGTTATTTGGCTGCAATCCCTTTTAAAAGAGCTTCACATCTCTGTTTCTTCAACTCCTGTCATTTGGGTTGACAATCGAGGCGCCATTTCCTTGGCTTCAAATCCCATTCATCACTCTCGCACAAAACACGTAGAGATTGACATGCATTTCCTTCGAGAAAAGGTCAACAACAAATCTATCTCTGTCCAGCATGTTCCATCCCTTTACCAAGTGGCTGATGTTCTTACTAAACCGTTAAGTGGACAATTCTTCTCGCGTCTGCGACATTCCCTTAATGTGCATTTACAGACGTCGCTCGAATTGCGGGGGGATGATAAACATATCATTATGAAGGCTCATGAAAATAAAGCCACATGCATGAGGTCATGCATGGCCACCTCACCTTCCACATGCAGCCAAAATACTACATCACTGCCACTGCTCGTACAAGGTTGTTAGGAGAGCATTTTTTGAATTTTGAAATCTTATCCTTTTATGTACTAGGTAGAGTGAGGTGTCCCTATTCTAGATTATTCCTCTTAGAGTATATATTAAGGTGTATGTCACCTCAGAATATAATCAATCAATTTACAGAGACAAAATTCTCTCTTGAGCAAAAATACCTTTCTTTCGATTTTATGTTCATTTGATCTTTTAATGGAGGATCTCAAAGTCTTTCATAAGTTCTTAATCCTAACTCTAGATCCGCTGCACTAATATTTTTTAAGAATTCATTTATGCAAATCGATCGAAGTTCTTTATAGAATCCAACACAAAATTATTTGCTTTAAAGGAGATTTTGAACATGATGACCGATTGCTTCATACTCAAAGAAAATTTACATCGGGTCCAACAAAGCATGCTTCAGCAAGCTAACTTTTATCATAAGTATAAGGTGCTTAATGTTGGCATGCAACTGGGTTTGGGTCAAGTTCCAGCCATACCGATAGTCCACATTGGCTTTGTGTGAGGTTCGCCTAAATTATCTTTTCGTTATTTTGGTCTATATGACATAGAAAAACGAATTAGGCAAGTCACATACAAGCTTGAGTTTCCAAAGGCTAGTCCTGTATACACCATTTTTTCACGTATATTTATTAGGACAAAAAAAATATTATTCAACAATAACCTTTGGTATTTTTCGTAATCAAGTGATTGGAGCTTTCGCATGCTCACCAAATACAACGGCCAAACAAGTATTCAGCACGTAACAGAGTTGCAGAAAATTATTATTTTGACTCAGAGTATACATGTTGGAGTTGCTATAACACGCTTATATATTATCCTACGCATCTACAAAGTCGTTCATAAAATAAGACTGGTTTAGGGGCGAAATTAATTTACTCAGTCAAGATCTAGCCAGGCCAGATTCGTCTTAATCCGGGAGCGTGTTGACAAAGGCAATAGATTTGGATAATTTATATGCTTATTTCCGTTTTTCAACTAAATTTAGGGAAAAAAAACAAAAAGAAATATTACAACTGTTTGAATGTAGTGGAAAGGTATGATTATCTTAAACATAACTACTGTTTAAGAAATTATAAAAATCTTATCACCTGAATTGAAAGTAAAATGTAACCATCATTAAATTGGAAGCGTGAAATAAAATGCATGCATTTTCAGTACTACTTTATATGTAAAAATTTGAATGATGGTTTTATTAAGTAAAAGGCTAAAATCTAATCCTTTAACTTAGACTCCAAGTCTCAAAGATGTATTCCATTTGTGTAGATACATATATGTAAATAAAATTTTATAAATTTTATGTATGTATATAATAGTAATATTATAAATTATATAATTGAAATATCACATTTTAAAAATTTGACCATTAGAAAAAATGAACAATAATTAGTATAAACTATTTAACTATATATCAATCACTATATTGGCTGATTTTTTATGGATAATATATTTTTCGTAATTAGAGAGATAATCACTAATTAATTAAATGAAAAAATGTTAAAACTCTTATTTATGTTGTTGGTGGTGGTGGTGGTGGTGGTGTTGCTATTACTTTTGTATATTTTTTATATATCATTATATTTGCTAGTCCGGTAATACATTCGATATTATCGGTCCGACTAGTCATACCACGTACCGATGGCTAGACAGGTATGACTAGGGTGAGCATGGGTCGGTACGGTTTGGAGATTGACAAATCTCTAGAACCGTACCGAAATTCAGAGATCACTAAAATTCGATCTCCGGAATCGTAAAAAAAAAAATAGTTCGATTTTCGGTTCTGAGATTTTTATTTTTCGGTTCGGTATTAGGACTATCGAAATGGTTCAGTTCGGTTTGATTCGGTTCAGATATTCAGAGATTTCTAATTATTTTTGAATGACAACCTAGTTATATTTTAATTTTTATATGTTTTTTTTTAAATCTAATATTCATCAATACTTCATCATACTAAAGATTTTATTTTTAAATCAGCTTTAGAAGAAACTCTAAATTATAATTAAGACTAAATTTGTGCAACTAACACTGAAAATTTAAAATTCAAAAAAATATAATATAGTTTTTTATTAAAGTAATATTTGGTTAACCTTCCGTACCATTTTAGTTATAAGATAGAATAATACTAAGTATCGACAAATTTAAGTAAAGTGTAGATAGTGTTTTAAAAACAATATTTATTTAGTCTTTCATGCTATTTTAAATACTTTTTCTTTAAACAAGAAAAATTCAATTGTAGATCAAATATTACTAAATATGAAATTAAAGTGAAGCTTAATTGTTATTAGTATATTTTATTTGCATTTTAAAACTTATCAAGTTATATAGGATGATAGTTGACATAAAATATGTTAATAACACACATCTTTTTTTACATTTTGGTTCTTAATTTCGGTTCTTCGGTTTGGTACGGTATGAGACAATTCAGTTCGGTTCTCGGTATGAATATTTGTGAATCTCCAGAACCCTACCAATTATTTTTTCGGTTCGGTTCAATTCGGAGAAAGTCAAACGGTCGACGGTTATTATTCGGTTCGGAGTGATTAAGGTTCGGTTTTCGGAACATTCAGAATTCTCTGAGAGCACCCACAATGTTTTGGGTCTCTTTTTGTATATGTGACATATAGTTGGACTTAGGTCATAAATGACATGGACAAACCTAAGTAAAAAAACCCAAGAGCTTTCCAATGCATAAACAAAATACTAGGTCTAGAACACATATCAACCAATAAAAACAGGCGTAAATAAAAATGTGAATTAATTGCTGATTGTGCATGTTCACACTTGGGTCCAAAATAGACCCAAGAGTGAGCTTGATCTCTTTTTTTCTATTGCCACATAAGCTAGACCAAGTTCATTTTTAATTGCATTGTGAAACACTTTTTAATAGACCAAGTCTATTTTCTACATGGCATGTGAACTTTTTGGAAGAGACCCAAAACATTGTGGGTGCTCTGAGTCCCATGCTCAACCCTAAGTATGACCACCGATACGATATTTATAACACTAAGTATGACCATCGATATGATATTTATAACACTGCCTTCAGTAGTGGAGAGATGAAAGAGAACTAATGAAAAAATAAAATAAAATTAGATAAATGGAGTAAATCTAGACAGAGAAAATCTAGATTTCACTTTGCTAGTGTTCGGACTTGGGAGAAAATTAAAAGAGAAGGAACAAAAAAATAAAATAAAACAAGATCAATTTATAGTGATCCTTTGCCTCTTCTCCATTTACCAGTCTTCTACACGCCTTCACCCCTGCAAACCAAATCAAGATTCACACACAAACACACACACACACACACATACCGGAAAAGAACAAACACACATTCACACACATCTCAACCATGTCGTCCTCAGCTCCACCTCCATCCCACAACCACGAACCCACCGCCGGAACCCTTACAGAACCCCCGCAAAAACCCGCATCGGAGATCAAGAAGCCAACTTTCCTGACCCCCCACCAGAAGCCGACGTGGGTCCTCCCGTACCGGACCCCACTCCTCAAGAGCCTCTACTCCATCGGCCGCAAGCTCGGGCAGGGCCAGTTCGGGATCACCTTCCTCTGCACCGAGAAATCCACCGGCACCCCCTACGCCTGCAAATCCATCCCCAAGAAGAAGCTGATCTGCCGGGAGGACTACGAGGATGTCTGGAGGGAGATTCAGATAATGCACCACCTGTCGGAGCACCCCAACGTGGTCAGGATAAAGGGCACCTACGAGGACGCGCTGTTCGTGCACATAGTCATGGAGCTGTGCGCCGGCGGCGAGCTCTTTGACCGGATTGTGCAGAAGGGACATTACAGCGAGAGGGAGGCCGCCAAGCTGATCAAGACCATTGTTGGGGTTGTCGAGGGCTGCCACTCGCTGGGGGTCATGCACAGGGATTTGAAGCCCGAGAATTTCTTGTTCCTTAGTGCCGATGAGGATGCTGCCCTCAAGGCCACTGATTTTGGTCTCTCTGTTTTCTATAAACCAGGTGGGAGTTCGTGCGTGGCACCTTAGTCGAATCAATTACTTTTGATTTCTTTGGTGGTTTGATTTGTCTGAGTTGATTCTGGTATGGGTTGTCTATAAAATATCTGTGACATTTGTTGGGTTTGTGTGGTTGGGGTATTTAATTGGTTTTCTGGTATGTGCGATGTGGTAATTGCTTTTCTCTGTGTTTCTGGTTGATTTACATCTGGGTTTAATTTTTGTGTATGATTGTGCTCTTTTTACTATGGTAGAACTGTCTTCAGCTCTGTGTATGCCGTGCGAGAAAAAGATCATTAAACTAAGTTCTGTCAGATTCAATTATCAGTGAACTGCCTGGAGTCATTTATGGATTTTGTTGAGCAACTAAAATAGCTCAACTGCCTCATTATTCATCCTGCCATTGTCTTTACTAATTTTTTTGTTCTGTATCCCTAGTTCCTTTTGGAGTGCTGAACTATGATTTTTGGTTGATATGCTATTGTTCCTNTATATGGTGGATATCAAGTTTCTTTTGTTGTTTCTATGTTTTCTGATTCAGTTTAAGCCATTGCATTTGCCAAATCGGGTTCATACAGATAAAAAGTTATGTAGACTGTGGTGTATTCATCTCCTTTGTTTATGTTTATTTTGTGGAGCTTCAAGTTTGTCTGCTTTTGGTTTTCAGACAGAGCTGACTAGATTCTTGTTAGCCCAAGTCCCAATTCATCTTTATCAAACCCAATTTCCTGTGCTTTAACTATATGTAGCTAAGGTAATTGGTCTTTGATCTATTTATCTGAGACTTGTATTATTCTCTTTGGTCGGGTGTCCGTGTGATCTAACTTTTAACAATTGAAAATTTTGTTCTTGTTAAAGGCAAGGACTTTTGATTCTCTACATGTACTTATGGCATAATAAATCTTGCTATTTCTTTCAATTTATTTTGCTGGTTTTGTATTTTTTTTATCAGACGAAAGTTTTAGCGACGTTGTGGGAAGTCCTTATTATGTAGCACCGGAGGTTCTGCAGAAACATTATGGACCCGAGGCAGATGTATGGAGTGCTGGAGTTATTTTGTACATTTTACTCAGTGGTGTTCCACCTTTCTGGGCAGGTACTTCCATGTACGAATATTTGTTATATATTTTTGGATGTAATAAGTAATAACCCACATTAAGATGCTGCAACAATGAGTTTTAGTGTTTAATTCAATTTCTTGATCTCCAGAATCTGAGATGGGAATTTTCCGGCAGATATTACGAGGAAAATTGGACTTTGATTCCGACCCATGGCCTGTGATTTCAGACGACGCGAAGGATTTAATAAGAAAGATGCTGGATAGAAATCCAAAGACACGGTTAACAGCGCATGAAGTTCTGTGTAAGAATTTTTCATGAGAAATATATTTAAAATTATTGACTTTGTCAGGGATTCTTTTCTTCTTTATCCTTATGGTTCAACGAAAATGACTGACCTCTTTATTTTTTTTTTATTTTTTTTTTCTCTTAATCATTAGGTAATCCATGGATTGTTGATGATACACTGGCCCCTGATAAACCGCTTGATTCTGCAGTTTTATCACGCCTCAAGCAGTTCTCGGCTATGAACAAACTTAAGAAAATGGCTTTACGTGTAAGGACTTAATCGTTTTTTAGTATGCCATTTTAATGTTTGGCTTGCTTGCTTTTATGTCAGTCCAAGTTTCAATGCCAAATGTCGGAAGAAATCGACTTTGGAAAGTAGTACATGGTTATTTTTGGAGATTTTGAATTAATTGTTGAAATGACAATGTGAGGATATATAAAAGAACCTGATCACATTACATGTGCCTTTCATTTTTTGGTTTTTACCCTTGCCTTGATTAGTTGATTAGCTTTTGGATTGTTTGTTCTAATTGTGTAATGAAATAAAGTCGTATTGCATGCTGCAGTTTTTGTCGTTGTAATGTTATATATTTTGTTGCCTCTGATTTTTCCTGTTCCAATAGTAGTGATTATTTTATTTATTTTTTAATTTTTCCACACCCCCTCTTGAATTTACTTGTGAAAACTTTCACTCACTGGAAAAGCTTTTTGCAATTTTGTAGGTTATTGCTGAGAGATTATCCGAAGAAGAAATTGGCGGTCTGAAAGAGCTGTTCAAAATGATTGATACAGACAATAGTGGAACAATAACCTTTGATGAACTCAAAGAAGGTCTAAAGCGAGTGGGGTCTGACCTGATGGAATCTGAAATTAAAGATCTTATGAGTGCGGTAATAAAACGTGAAAAGAATAGGAATCTGTAATTTAACTTATTCTACTGGTTGCTAAGTAGACTGACATGAACCCTTTATTTTTTATTAATCATTTTTTCTTTTTCTTGTTTCAATTATTGCCAGGCTGACATTGATAACAGTGGAACAATTGATTACGGAGAGTTTCTTGCAGCCACTGTACATATGAACAAGTTAGAGAGAGAAGAGAATTTGGTCTCGGCCTTCTCTTTCTTCGATAAAGATGGCAGTGGTTATATAACCATTGATGAGCTTCAACAGGCTTGCAAAGAATTTGGTCTGAGTGAGCTTCATCTTGATGAGATGATCAGCGAGATTGATCAAGATAATGTATAGTGATTTTTCTCATCATGTTTGCTTATTCATTTTCATAGTTAAATAAAGCTTTTGAATTTTGCCTATGCCTTGTTTGCCTTGATTGCAGGATGGGCAGATTGATTATGGGGAATTTGCAGCAATGATGAGAAAGGGAAATGGAGGTGGTGTTGGGAGGCGAACTATGAGGAAAACTATAAACTTAGGAGATGCATTTGGATTGGGGATTTCGGACAATAATAATAAAGGAGCCGACTCACAGGATTAATCCCGGTTAAGAAAACTCAAAATTTTCCTCCCTTTTTTTGGTTTCCCTGTGACATTGCAACAATTGACATTTTAATGAAAAAGAAGCTTTTGCTAGATCGTCTCAATTCGCTTATTTTGGTCACCTCTTAAAAAATTACTACATTGCCCTCTCCCGAAGCCATTAACCTCACTTAAACAGAAAGGTATAATCGCATCACACTTGAAGTTGTGTATTAGACTTGGATAAACTAAAATGCTGCTTGCTTACATTCAACATGCTGTTGAAGTGTGCAAGAGTCTGAATAACGAATTTTAATATGCATAATCACACTTACGGTTTTAAGAACAGGTCTCATAACGAATGTTAGTATGCATAAATTTAGGTATATATGTTATGGATTGTATTTAACAGTTGCGAATGTTGTTCTTTTCTTTTCTTTCTTCTTTATCATCTTCTTTTACTCCCATCATTTTTTCATAAATCTCGGTGGATTGCGGTTCGTAGGTCTTACCTCAACACTTTCCTTCAATAGTTTTTGTGAATGTAATGAATATTTTCATAGGTCTCACCTCAACACTTCATTAGTTTTTGTGAATGCAGTCAATATTATCGAAAACCGAACAAAACACACGTCAATGAGTTTTTTAACATAGGGTGTGATATTAGAAAAGAAGCAAAACATGAGGAAGTATGCAGTAATCTACTATTTTGACTATATGCTTTGAATCAGAAAAACCCCAATGGTATAATACTATTTTTGGTTCCAACACATTTCAAGAATTTCTCATTTTGGTTTGAGCAACTTTCACCAACCATGGTGTAATAATACAAGATTTTCCAAGATAAAAGCAGTCACGGGTCCTGGCCCACGAACTGGGCAGCGGCCCGGGCCCAATTAAAGAATGGGGACACCAGGGGCAAAGATACAAGACATAATACAAAAATTCCATTAAAAATACTAGTCACATAGAATTTCAAATATGTGAAACGACTTCCAAAAATGTAGAAATCCCTCATATGCAAATAAAAAAATAAATATCCAACAGTTAATCAGCTCTTGTTAAATAACCGCCCATTATAAGACTCCATTCTGATATGGATACAAAAATAACATCAAATTCAATGAAAAAGATCACAACTATGGCATAACGGAAAAGAACAAATAAAATAATTGCTTTTACTTTAATCAATTCAAATTGAATTTTGTTTACGAAAAAATATAAATATCAAAGGATGAAAAAATAATATTTTAAACAACTTGATTGCACTCAACTTGTAACTAAATATTATTTTTATTAATTAATTTGCACTCCTTCCAAACTTCTAATACTAATCAACAATCTTAACTTACACTTAGATAATTTTTTTTTTTTTTTATGAAAGCGACTACCCTTAAGGGCCGAGGTCGCACACGTTACACGAATAAGAAACGCCTAAAACATCATGATGAATCCATGGCCGAACCCCACTCGGCGGCTTGATGAAGAATTGATATCCCATTTCACCTTCCGCAGCGAAGGAGGCCAGGTGGTCGGCCGCTAAATTTGTTTCGCGGAAAACATGTTTAACTTTAATCTTCCAAGCACGACTTAAGAGTTCCTTGATACCCCCAATAAGGCTCGTATGCACCCCCGGTACCTCATTCAGAGATTCCGCTAGCCCCACTACACTCGCACTGTCAACCTCGGCTTTCACCTGTCTAAATCCCATATCCCACGCCAAGCAAATCCCCCGAAAGAGCCCCCATAATTCAGCCGCCATGATTGAGCAGAATCCTATCTTCATCGTAAAACCTCCTAGCCACCTTCCTTGCTCATCACGTAAAAGACCTCCGGCGCATCCCAAGCCCGTCATCCCATTGTAAAAGCCATCCGAGTTCAACTTTACCCAACCCATTGAAGGTCTTTCCCACCGAATCCACCGCTCCTCCCGTAATCATCCCGTTCCTCCAAACTTTTTGGCATCCTGAAGAAATTTTGCTACCCCCACGCTATAAGTGTGAATCTCTCGCATACACGACGAGATGTCTCGAACCCGGCCCTGAAAGATCGATTCATTACGCAAAGCTTCCAAGCTACTATGCCAAAGGTGCGATCCCACTCCTCCTGGACAGACCCAGACCGCTTCCTCAGGTTCCTGAACAACCAAGGTTTCAGTTCCAACGTGAAAAAGATCGCATGCAGATCACCCGGTAGTAATTGTCTTCAAATTTCCGCCGCATCTGGACAGTCCCGTACTACATGTAACGATGTCTCAGCGGTAGCGCCATATTTCACGCAAAGGTTAGATTCCGACAAGTGCTTTCGACACCTTTTCGCATTTGTAAGGAGTCCGTCCTTCGAAAGCAGCCACAGAAAAGTCCTGATTCGTTGAGGGCCTGGCCACTGCCAAATCGCTTTCCATAACGGTGTCATGCCTGATGACCCATCACCGGTTATTAAATCATAAGCGGATTTGGTGGAGAAAACTCCTGTAGAAGAATGTCTCCAGTAGAGACGATCCCGACCCCTCTCCGCTCTTGGCATAGGTACAGCCGCAATCTGAAGTAGCATCGACGCCGGGAGGAGAGACGAGAATAGATCCCATTTCCAGTTTCCCTCATCCGAGCTAAAATAGCAAACGGGTTTTGCTCCGTAAATCCACGGGAATCTCTATTGTGGCTACGGCTATCAAAGTAACTCCCGATGGAAGCCAACGGTCCATCCAAAACTTCGTCGTGCGGCCATTGCACACAGCCCAACTGGAACCTGCCTCCACAAAATGCCACATTTTGCTAACCGACTTTAGCACAGCCGAACTGGAGCTTCTAACAGTATGAGCGAATGGGTTGTCCCTGTATTTTGCTTTCCAAATTCGAACCCAGAGAGCACCTGGAGATGTTAGGAACTTCCACCCTATTTTCATCAACAAAGCCCCATTCATCGCACGATGCCGTTTTAGTCCCAAGCCTCCACACTCCCGTGCCCGACACACTTCATCCCATTTAACAAGGCTAATTTTCCGCTTGTTGGCCGAACCACCCCAAATGAAACGCCTACAGCATTTTCCCAGCTCGTCACACACGGAGTTAGGCAAGCGAACAGATTGCATTGTGTAGTAAGGCAGCGTGCTTACAACAGATTGAGTTAAGATGACCCTACCTGCCAATGATAGAGACGAAGCCTTCCATCCCGATAAGCGAGCCTCGGCTTTTTCAATGGTCCTCTCATAGGTTTGACGTTTAATCCTGCCATGCAATAGTAGTACCCCCAAATAATATCCGAGATCCTCCACTCTTGTGTAACCCAACATATCCGAAAGGACAATACGCTCATTAAGAGCAACGTTTTTAGAGAAGAAGACGGTGGTTTTAGGATCAATCACCCTAAGGACAGATTCTTGGCAGAAGTCGGCCAAGACCTCCTTAACCGTGTGCACTTGAGTAGCCGACGCCTCCAGAAAGAGAAGTAAGTCATCAGCAAACAGTAAATACGGGATTTGAACTCTCCCACGCCCCACGGTGATTGGTTTCCATAGGCCACGACCAACAGCACGCTGTATGGCGTGGGCTAACCGCTCAATACAAAGAACGAATAGATACGGAGAAATAGGGTCCCCTTGGCGGACCCCCCTCGACGGCAGAAATTCTTCCCCCGGGACTCCATTCCAAAGTATTTGCATTGATGCAGAGGTAACGCATGTCATCACAGCTTTCACAAAATTCGTGGGAAGCCCTGCCAAGAGAAGAGTAGACTCGACGAAGTCTCATCGGAGAAAATCATATGCATTCTCAAGATCAACTTTAACCACCATAAAACCCTTGTTCCCGGATTTGGTCCTCATCGAGTATATTAACTCCTGAGCCACAATGATGTTTTCATTTATTTGCCGCCCTGGAACAAAACTTGACTGGGCCGGCCCGATGAGACCGGGGTGAAGTGGCTTAAGCCTATTGGCTAACACCTTCGTCATAAGTTTATAAGCCACATTCAAGAGGCTAATTAGCCTGAAGTGTTGGATTGATTCCGGCTGATCCCTCTTCGGGATGAGGACAATCAAGGTATTATTAACTGCGGCTGGCATTTCATCTCCGCTAAATACTCCTCTAATAAGTTTGCTAACGGACGGCCCCACGCTTTCCCATTGACTTTTAAAGAAAAGAGCGTTAAGCCCATCCTCCCCTGGAGCTTTTAGCGAGCTCATGTCCTGGAGCGCACGCAAAATCTCGTCATCCGAAACCCCCCGTTGGAGCAGCCTCGAGGCCTGACTACTGATGGGCGGAAAATCATTCCATGTATCCCTCGTTAATGGAACTAGGTGGTCTTTTGTATAAATCGACTTAAAGTGCGAAACTATCAACCGTTGTAAGTCGTCCTGATCGGTCAACAAAACTCCATTGTGATCTTTGAGGGCCACAATGCGATTATGGCGCCTTCGGGCTTTCACTTGTCTATAAAAGAAGGCAGTGTTGTGATCCCCGAACAAAGTCCAATCTCGTTTGGATTTCTGTAACATGAGGACCTCTTCCTGAAGTAAAATGTTCTCCAGCTCCTCCGTCAAGGATCGCTCCAGGAAGGATAATCTGGAGGAGTTTCGATAGTGTAAGGACCTCTGAATGCCTCTTATACGCGCCAACAGGGTTTTCTTTTTTTGAAATATGTTGTCGAACACTCGAAAATTCCACTCTCTGGCAGCGTGAGAAAAGGAACTAGCAGCCTCCACGAATTCCCTATTCTCTGCCCATCAGTCAGTCACCACATCCTTAAATTCATCATGTAACAGCCACGAGGCTAAGAATCGAAAAGGTTTAGCCCCTCGTGATGGAATCCGCCCAGAGCTACAACGAACCACAAGAGGACTATGGTCCGATTGGAGACGGGCTGCATGTAAGACAAACGCCTCAGGGAAACGATCCATCCATGCCTCATTACACAGAAACCTATCAAGTCTCTTGAGTAGATCACGGCGGCCCCAGGTAAATTGGGCTCCATCAGTCTTGACTTCATGCAAGCTGTGGTCGAAGACCCACTTCGAAAAAGCTCTACAAGTCGTACCACCATGGGGCAACCCTCCTGCTCTTTCTAACGATCGCAAAATGCAATTGAAGTCTTCCCCGATCAACCAAGGGCCCCTAATGGATGAGGCCAGGGTATGCAGGAGGCGCCACAGCACCAGTCTGCCCGTCGGGTTTGGAGAAGCATACACAAAAGTAACCAAAGATTGCTTATCATCCATACTCACGTGGAGGTGAACGAATTGCTTGTGGCATTGCAATATAGTCACCTCCGCTTTTTCTTGCCACAAGATCTAGATTCCTCCCGAAAAGCCAGAAGCTTCCACCCGAAAAGAACGAGCAAACCCCGAGTTACAAACGAACACGTCAGCATTGCCGCCACTAATCTTGGGTTCAAAAATCGCCACAACATCCGGTGTGTGTTGAGAAATAATGGTTGAAAAGGCTCTCCGAAATTTACTTGAGCCGGCCCCTTCAACATTCCATGCTAAAAAATTCATAGAGGAAACTAAGATAAATTGGTGACTGAACCCTCAGGCCAAACGATGAACGCCCGTTACTATATCTTCCCCTCCTTCCTCCATGTGAAGATCTTGGTTCTCGTCCAGTTCACCCGTAATGTCCGGTGGTTCCTCTTGCAGAATGGAGATAATTTAAATAATAATAAGAAGCAGACACAATATTACTAAAATATTGATTTATTCTTTTCATCATCATAATAATAATAATGATAATAATAACAATAATAATAATAATAATAATAATAATAATAATAATAATAATAATAATAATAATAATAGTATTAGAGCTAATATACTTTTATTTGTAATGTTATAAATATTAACATTTTTTTAATGTAGTGATTCTTGTCGTGAACGCCATATAATTTATCATTAGTACAATTTATGTCCTTATATTATTTTTGTACTTTTTTCATTTGTTTTGGAACTGCTTATTGTTGCTCAAGTATTTTTCACATATTTATATTTTTTCTTAAGTTGTTTTGTTGATGTCTAATAGGTGTCTCGTATTTAGAAGTATGTAACACTAGGGAAATGCTCACATGCCCACGGTGGGCACATGTTAATATGTCCACCAACTTATGTGACATGCACACATTGGTGATATATTTTTTTTTTCCTGTAATACTAAGCATATGCTTAATTCGTAACATGCAATAGAAAATGTTTTAGCGAAAATAATGAATAAACAATTAGATAAATAGGAAAAAACTAAAAAGTAAATACACATGTACGTGATACATTCTGCAGAAATTCTATGGCGCCCATATGGGCACCATACACATGTACGTGATACATTCTGCNTGTCCATGGCTTCCGAAACCTTCAACCTTAAGATAAAACAATAAAACATAAAAAAGAACCATAAGCCAAAAAACTACACACTTAAAGGGAACAAAATTCACTCAATCAACATCCCTTCAAAACTCAATGATAATTAAAAAAAATATATATATTAAATATTAAAATTCTCTTCACAAAAGGCATTAATATAATATTAAATGAGTAAAAGTGGAATAATAAACAGACTATATATCAAAAAATAAATAATTCAGTGCCAAAATCTATTCTAAGTTATCCTCCAACATCTTCAATGGCCCCCCATTCTCCAAATCCCGTACTTCAACCTCACCATTTTTCTCCACTACACCATTATCCAAATCCTTCTTCTTCTTCCCATCTTCTTTTTCTCGTTCCTCTTTAGCTAATTTCTCGGCCTTCACCCTGGCCAGCTCCTTAGCCTCCTCGAGCGCCTCGATCAATCTCACCAGACCCTTCTCCCCATTCTCACCCCTCACTTTCGACATCAGATTCTCCGCCACGTCAGCAGGCGTCATCTCAATCTCCTCCAACATCGACCGAATCTTGCCAAACAGCTCGTGCTCCTCGATTTCCAAATAATTCTTGGCAAGAACCTTAAACGCCTCAAACCCGCAATACGACAGCTCAATGTGCTTGTCCATCCTCCCTCTCCGGATAAGGGCCGGGTCAAGCTTCTCAACATAGTTCGTCGTGAAAACAATAATCCTTTCCCCACCGCACGCCGTCCAAAGCCCGTCAATAAAGTTCAAAAGCCCGGACAATGTCACCTTGCTCGATTTCTTCCCACCCTCCTCCAATTTCTCCACTTTCCCCTTCAATCTCTCAATCTCCTCCTTTCCGTCGTCTTCGTCTTCACTCTCATCGTCATCCTCCTTCTTCTCTCTCTGTCCCGTGAGGTTTATCGAGCAGTCAATGTCCTCAATGACAATAATCGACTTTCCGGAAGTGTCGATGAGAAGCTTCCGGAGCTCGGTGTTGTCCGTGACCGAAGTCAACTCCAAATCGTACACGTCGTACTCGAGTAGATTAGCCATGGCGGCTATCATGCTCGACTTTCCGGTTCCCGGGGGGCCAAACAGGAGGTAGCCCCTCTTCCAAGCTTTTCCGATTTTCTTATAGTAATCCTTGGAGTCCGCGAATTTACGTAAATCGTTGATGATGTCATGCTTTTTCGCGGGATCCATGGCGAGGGTTTCGAAGGTGGCCGGGTGATCGAACGTCTCGTAGCTCCACAAGTTGTCGCCGTCTTCCTTGGTGTTGGTGTAGAGCTTGCGGCGCCGCTCTCGGGCGGCGATGGCCTTTCCCTGGGCGATGACGTGTGGGATGTATTTCGAGGTGATGACGTGGCGGTGGCGGCTGTGGCAGGTGAGGGTCAAGTAACGCTTGGCGTTGTCACGGGAGTTGTAGGAGAGGGAGATGGACTGGCGATTGGGGACGATCTCGCCGGAGGCCCACCAGATCTTGGCGCCGGAGAACTCGTCGGTCACCTTGAATATTTTGGAGATTTTCTTAGATATTAATTTTGGTAAAAGCATTTTTTTTTTTAGTAAAAGCATATATATATAAATAAGAAGGCAAAAATCCAATTTTAAAAGAATGCAAAAATCTAATTTTGGTCATCTAAGTTAGCAATTGTTCAATTTGATACACCAATTTTTCCCTCATCAATAATAGTTCACTATGTTACAATTATCATCAATTTTAGTACAGTAATCCGGATGACGTGGAAAATTATACTAAAATTGACAAATTGACGAAATTGTAACATAGTGAATTATTTTTTATGAGGAGAAAGTTGGAAAGTTGGTGTACTAAAATTGGACAATGACCAATTTAGAGGACCGAAATTGAATTTTTGACTAAATGAGAGAAACGACAAGAAGAAGAAGAAAGAGACCTGCTCGTGGGTGTCCATGGAGAGGAGGACGGAGTTGGAGGCACGGGAGAAGGAGGCCTTGAGGCAGCGGGCCTGGGAGGTAGAGGTGGCGTTGAGGTAGCGCTGAATGGACTTGAAGGCGGGGCTGCGGGAGAAGCCGGAGCCTTGGTACTCGGGGAAAGTGATTTCGACGTAGGGGTTTAAGAGGTCGAGGAGCTTTTGGTAGTAGCGGCGGAGGAAGCTGCGGAGGGCGTCCGGGAAGTAGTTTTGGAACATCGCGTATGCCATCATAAGCCCGCCGATGGTGGACGTCGCTTTGCTCATCATCTCCCCAATCAAATTAAACATTTTTTTTTTTTTTTTAACTTATGGTGGGGAAGGGGATTGCGTATGGTATGAGCCTTTCTTCTTTAGTTTTGTTGATGGGCATCAGATGGTCTGTGTGGTACTATTTATATAGGCGTCATGACGCTATCAATGTCGAACGGTGTCGGGTAAAATCTTCTACTATAGGATCCTAATCCTTGTCCAACTAAATTAGCTTATTTCCTTTCCTTACTTGATTTCTAGTCCTTAGTTGATTTTCTAGATTAATTGTGGAATATAATCCCTATGTATTTAAATTGATTTATTTGTTTTTCTTAATTGCTTTCCTAGATTAATTATGAATATTGAGTTGATTATAGTTTCCATGCAATCTTCATTGTATGCCTTATTTAATTGTTTTCCTAGATTAGTTAAATATTGGGTTGATATAATTTTTAGGTAATCTAGAACAAGAAAAACTGTCAATTNTTTTTAAAACTAAACTTTAAAAATAAAAAATAATTAAAAGGGATTTTGACCTGGCAACCCGGTAGAATTGGAGTATGAGAGGCAAGAGAAAGAAAAATAAACAAAATTAGATATATATATCACTTGGTGAATTTGGCTCATTGAGCTGAATTGGTTAATGTAACTTATAAAAGGGTATATAATTCATTTAACTTAAAAACAATAGATATATTATAAGCATAACCCTCATTTGTGATGATTTTGGTTCATTGAGCTACATTGGGTAATTAAACTTATAAAAGGGTACATAATCATTTAACTTAACAAACTTTTCTTTTTATTCTAATAATTCACTCTGACGCTTATCTAGACTCATTATTCAAGAAAATTTTGGAATTAGCGTGTTTGGAAAGAATTATAAGAAAAAAAAAATTATAATTTATTTGATTATCTTATATTAAAAAAAATTAGTTTGATATGCTAAAATTTCTTAAATGTTGGAGCTTTTAGCATGTTTCATTTACAAATTAGCCAAAATCCAAGTTAGTAATTCTATTTTATTAAAATTTTTATTTTAATTACCTTATCAGCTATAAGTTTATCAAACACATCTATTATTTTTTAGTAACAAGTCATTACTATATGTTACTATCATTTTTAGTAACAAGTCATTACTATATGTTATCAGCTAACTTTTGAGGTGGATTTACCTAACATATTTATATCTACAAACACAAATTAAAATGAAAGCGGACAAAATATTTTTTTGGAATGTCACACTACCCTCAAACTTCTTAATTTTATTACAAAACAGTTGCAATGCATAATTTGTAATTACAAGTAATAATTAATTATATCCAAATCTACTTATTGTTTCTCTAACATAACCATAACTAATGATGGCATTTGCTCAAACTAGTGTATATCCCGTGCGATGCACGGAGCAGCTCATATTTTAAACTTTATTTTAGACTTTATTTTAAATATAATTATTTATATTTTTCACATCTCGTCATTATGAAATTAAAATAAATGCAAAAATGAAAAATATATATTATTAAACACTTCTCTTTATATAATATTTTTTATTTAAGGAATATTATCAAACCTATATGATTGTTAACGTACAAAAAACAATAGAAATAATCCATACTTTAAAGTAAAATTATTTTTTTATTATTTTACAAATAAAAATCATCCATTTTTTTTATTTCAAAAAAATTTGGCAAGTTTGTTAATGAGTTAAATCAAGTTATACAAATGATTAAATGTTAAACTATTATATTAATTATATTTTAAGAAATCCGATTATACAAATGTAGGTAAAAAAAATATTATGCTAATTAGTTTGTTAGGATTGTGATTATATGGAATTTAAGATAAAATGAAATGTAACCAAAAAATCTGTTCGTGGTCTTTTCCTTTAAATGTTTGAATTTAAAATTATATAACCAAATTTACATTATATCACATAAGGAAAAATAAATAATAATATTTATGAATATGTTTAAAAATTTAATTTTCAATTTCAAATAGAGTAGAAGACGGAATAATTCAAATTTGTTTTCAAAACGTTTTTAAAGTCTTTAATATTCTGGTAAGTATACCCGTAAGAATAATCTTACTATTTTAATTTCAAAAATTTTGGCAAGTTTGTTAATAAGATAAATTCGGTTAGACAAAAGATTAATTAGTTAAAATATTATAGTAATTATATTTTAAAAATTCCAGTTATATAATTATAATTGTATTAATTAATTTTTTAAAATGTAATTATATGGAAGTTAAGACAAAATTAAATGTACCCAAAAAATCTGCTTAGAATCTTTTTCTTTAAATGTTTGAATTTAAAATTTTAATATCGAATTTCGATTATATCACATAATGAAAAAATAAATAATAAATGTTTATTAATATATTAAAATATGTAATTTTGAATTTCATATAAAGTATAAGGTATGATAATTCAAATTTATTTTTTAAATAAAAGTTATGATAAACATTTATTGTTTCTCTTTCAAAATATTAATAAATAAGAATATAAATCCAAACAAATTTTGATAAAATGGAATGTACCCAAAAAATCTGTTTGTAATATTTCCTTTTTTTTTTCAATTTTAAACAAAAGATAAACATAATCGGTTGAAAAAAAAAAGAAGTCAAATATACTGCTAAAATAAAAATCTATTTTCTCTAATCAAAAGGAACTTGAATTTATCTGATATGGAAGGAATCTCATCCAAAATATATTCAACTCATCCAAAACATACTGAATTTCGGAATGAAAAAATTTCAAACAAAATTTTAGGAGGAAAAAAATGATTTGAGCGGTAAAATGAAATAATTTTTCAAACATTTTTTCTTCTCTCTATTATATAGTAATAGATGCTCAAATTACAAAAATACCTAGGTTTCGACTTTCGAGTCTTTTAGCAATAAAAAAACTCATAATTGAAATCCAAAATTTAAAACGTGCAGAATAAAATATCACATGAACAAAAGAGAATTGAACTTTCCCCTTTCCCCTTTCCCCTTTCTGAAAAAAAAATCCCTCGATTTGCTCTGCTTCTATGCACCTTCCCCAGCGAGATCTTCCGCGCCATAACGACGATTTGTCTTTCAATATCTAAATCTAGCCTATAAAATGCCCCATTTTATTTTTAAAAAAAAAAAAGAACAATGAACATAATTTGAATATATTTCATATCTTAAGCTTTAAGCTTGTTTTGAGAAGTTATCTTCTTCTCATTCACTACTCGAAACTCTTGGTGGATTCTTGAGTGTGCCTTGTGATACCTCCAATATCTCTTATGTTTCTTTTGTCAAATTGTTAATTGAGTTATAAATTTTTGTTTCATGTTAAGTTTTGAAGCTTCACGAGGTAAATTGACAATTCCATATACATATTTTGTTACCAAATTGTTGACTTTAAACATTATAATGAAATGAAACACTTTTGGTGTAAAAGGATCGTGACTTTTTGTATACACACATAATAGATAACGGTTCGAATTTTCAAACTGCTTTTAAAATCCAACTGAACCATACTACAAATAGTTTCGGTTTGGTTCTATCGGTATTGCAGTGGTTTTAAACCACGAGGTAAGACAGAACAGCGAGCCTCTTCAAAATCATTTTTATTGCTCGTGAACATTAGAACAAGAAGAAGTTCACATACCAGAACAAAGTAGAGAAGTGATCCTAACTCAGTGCCAAAATCTATTCTCAGTTAGCCTCAACATTTTCTTTGACCACTCCATTCTCCAAATCCTGTGTTTTAGCCTCACCATTTTCTTCCACTACACCATTATCCAAATCCTTCTTCTTCTTCCCAACTTCTTTTTCTTGTTCCTCTTTAGCTAATTTCTCAGCCTTCACCCTCGCCATCTCCTTGGCCTCCTCGAGCGCCTCGATCAATCTCACCAGACCTCTCTCCCCATCCTCACCCCCAACTTTCGGCATCAGATTCTCCGCCACGTCAGCAGGCGTCATCTCAATCTCTTCCAACATCAACCGAATCTTGCCGAACAACTCGTGCGCCTCGATTTCCAAATAATTCTTGGCAAGAACCTTAAACGCCTCAAACCCGCAATACGAGAGCTCAATGTGCTTGTCCATCCTCCCTCTCCGGATAAGTGCTGGGTCGAGCTTCTCCACGTAGTTCGTCGTGAAAACAATAATCCTTTCCCCACCGCAAGCCGACCAAAGCCCGTCAATAAAGTTCAAAAGCCCGGACAATGTCACCTCGCTCGATTTCTTCCCACCCTCCTCCAATTTTTTCAATTTCTCCTTCAATTTCTCAGTCTCGTCCTTATCCTTCTTCTCGTTATTGTCTTTTTCGTCTTCCTTCTCATCCTCCTTCTTCTCTCTCTGTCCCGTGAGATTGAGGGAGCAGTCGATGTCCTCAATAACAACGATCGACTTTCCCGACGTGTCGATAAGAAGCTTCCGGAGCTCGGTGTTGTCTTTGACCGAAGTCAACTCAAGATCGTACACGTCGTACTCGAGAAGATTAGCCATGGCGGCTATCATGGTCGACTTGCCGGTCCCCGGCGGCCCGAACAAGAGGTATCCCCTTTTCCAAGCCTTTCCGATTTTCTTATAGTAATCCTCGGAATCCGCGAATTTACGGAGATCGTTGATGATGTCATGCTTTTTCACGGGATCCATGGCCAGAGTGTCGAAAGTGGCCGGGTGCTCGAATGCCACGTGGCTCCACAAGCGCGGCCTGTACCCGCCGCCGTCTCCCCTGTTGTTGGTGTAGAGCTTCCGGCGCCGCTCTCGGACGGCGATGGCCTTTCCCTGGGCGATGACGTGTGGGATGTATTTTGAGGTGATGACGTGGCGGTGGCGGCGGTGGAAGGTTAGGCGGAAGTAGCGCTTCTCGTCCTCACGGGGGAAGAAGGAGATGGACTGGCGGATGGGGACGGTCTCGCCGGAGGCCCACCAGATCTTGGCGCCGGAGAATTCGTCGGTGACCTTGAATATTTCGGAAATTTTTTAGATATTTTGGTAAAAGCATATATATATGAAGAAATTAACAAGAGATCACCTCCTCGTGGTTTTCCATGGAGAGGACGACGGAGTCAGAGTCTCGGGAGACGGAGGCTTTGAGGCGGCGGGCCTGGGCGGTGGAGGTGGCGTTGAGGTAGCGCTGAATGGAAGAAAAGGCGGGGCTGCGGGAAAAGCCGTCGCCTTGGTACTCGGGGAAGGTGATGTGGACGTAGGGGTTTAGGAGGTCGTGGAGCTTTCGGGAGTAGCGGCGGATGGGGCTGCGGAGGGCGTCGGGGAAGTAGTTCTGGAACATGGCGTACGCCACCATAAGTCCGCCGATGGTGGATGTGGCTTTGCTCAGCGTCTCCCCAATCGAGCCAAACATTTTCTTGTTATTGGTGGGGAGGGGGATTGCGTCTCGGATGAGTTTTCTTCTTTGGTTGTTGGTGGGAATCAAATGTGCTGTGTAGTACTATTTTTATAGGGGCCATCACTCTCCAAGGTCGTCTTGTAGTAATATATTTTGACAAACTCCTCAGCCAATTACCCCCACGGCCCTTGTATATCGGGAATAATTGGGTCAATTGATTGTACCAAGTAGTCCCTTCGGGGACATCCGATAAAATTGGAACGATACAGAGAAGATTAGTATGGCTCCTGCAAATGGTTTTACCAAATAATTAATTTTATTAAAATGTACAAATTATATATACATATAGATATAAAATATTTATTTGGTATTTTCTTGTTTAGTCTAATTTTAGAGGTTTTATCTCTCATGTTTTATTGTTACTGGGTGGATTGATAATAAAAATTGATTGAGTTTTTGTTTTATCCTTTCCAACGCTTTCCTACGTCAATATGAGTCGGTGGGGTTTGGACAACATGCCTCGGGTTCTCACAATCAATTATTTAATACTAGATTTGTTAAGCATTTTTAAGATTTAATTTGAGGTTTTTTTTTTTTCAGACAGAGATTTGTTAACTTTTAAGATTTAATTTGACGTGGTTAACTATTAAGGTAAGGTGGACCCATAGGACACTGCTCCGATGACGGTTTAGTCATTAATTTACATATACATACACACCTAATATTATGGGCTAAAAATCAATCGACTAAACACGAATACCCCGCTATTACATCATGTTAAAAGTAGACCTTCACTTTACAACAAGGATAAAAGCGACAGGTTAATTCAGGCAAATTTAGGTATGTAAACGGGTCAAGTCGGGGCGGGTTTTGGCAAACCCGACACATATATAATTTATCCTACCCAAACTTGTTCAGCTACTCGCCTAGTGATCTTCGGCTACGAGTTGGGTTTTATCCAAAGAGTTAACTGATTTTCATCAAGTAAACGGGTAACCCGAGTTATTAAATTTCGGCTTTACCTGGTCCAACTGGACCGACCGCTTTAGGTGAAAAAATACAATAAAATTATTTTACAATTAATTATAATATAACAAACAATTTATTAACTAAGTTTGACAATAAAAAATAATAAATAAATTATATTATTTTTAGAATAATAAATGAGATATAATTAATTAATTTATTATTGTCTAGCTAATAATACAACATTTAAAATTTTTATTATATAATTAAAAAATTTGATAAATATAAATAAAATTAATTATGTATGATGCTATTTTTAATATTACACGATGCTATCATTTTCACAAATGTTGCTATTTTTAATAAAATACATCCTGGTTAAAAATAGCAAGGTTAAAAATAGCACTAAAACATAATCAATCATAGCACTTCATACAATTAAAAACAGTGGTTCTCACGCTAGGACTTGGTGGAAGATATAATTTGAACCACATCATATATATATATATATATATAGAGAGAGAGAGAGAGAATGGTGGAAGATGCACGACATGATCAACCTTTGCTATTTTCTCAGCATTCGATCGACCCCACATAGGATGCACGATTAAGCTTGTCTTTCAACGGACAATGCATGTGCCCTCTCGCAAGGGTGCCTTGAGACCCCTCGATAGGCTAAGCAGCTTGTCAGATGTCATGGGTTGACTGTCCTCCTAAGACAACTTCAACACATGAAACTTGGTCGACTTCACATGGTCGCGACCTCACGGCAAAGGAAGACTTCATGGTGGACTGCTCTGCAATGACTTCGACATATAACTATATTTTTACCTTCAAGTATCTCCAGGCAGATCATATGGCGAGCTTAGGGGCATCCTCTTCGGTCGGGCTACATCGGATCGCATTTTCCCCTCCTGGCTTGGGAGCATGGCTTCAGCATGATCTTATTGAGGTTTCTTACCTCCGTCGTGTTCTAGCTTAATCACTTTTCTAAGGCCCCTAACCTTCTTTCATTGTACCAAAAAAAAAAAAAAAAAAAAAAAAAAATAAGAATGAATATTGTAATTAGATTAATGAAAGAGAAAATATCCGATGGCTGGTGGACATGGCGAGAGGTTTAAACTTTAAAGTTCACCATCATTTGCATTTGTGATTTGGACAGCTATGAAGAGAATATTTAATTACGTATGGTTTTAAAACTGAATGCTTGCATTTGTAAATGTATTCTTTGGATATTATAGTGTGAAGGCACACAAGTTAATAGAACACTAATTTTAAGGAATAAATGTATTCTTTGGATATTATAGTGTGAAGGCACACAAGTTAATAGAACACTAATTTTAAGGAAATTTTCAATTTATTGCACATTTTTATTATTGAATCAACACACATCTACATATACGGAAGATAGAAATTCAACAACAAATTAATACCTTATAAGTATTTGTTAACCTATGTCTATGTAGTCTGTAGATGACTTGCATGCCCGGGCTTCAATTAAATTTGTACACAAAACAACACAGGACATTCTATCATAATAATGAAAATAGATACAGGACATTCTGAGTTCACCCATCATTTCCCATTTATTACAGTGTTGACTGATAAACTTAAATATTCTCTTGTACAATTAACCTTTTAGATTGTTTTTGTTCAGGAATTAGTTATAAAATCAAGAACAAATATTTGTAAAATATGCAATAATATAATGCAACTTGCAATATTGTGCAGAAGAAAAGTTGACTCGTGGGTAAATTTGTTGACCTTAAAAGTGACACATGAATTGTCTTGGAGTCGGGGACGAAACTTCCCAATGGAACCAAAAAAGAGTAGCATGTTCCTGATAGTTTTATCAAAGTGTTAATACGTCGTTTTCAGACATGTCGAGCCTAATGGGTAATATTAAAAGAGCGATCGATACTTATATTAAAAGGAATACCATTTATCAAATTTAGTATAAAGAAAAATCAATAACATTTATTTCATTACTATTTCCGTATTATATAATCTATACTTATATAAAAGGAGATTTTATTTACTACATTTACTATCCAGAAAAGTCAACTGCATTAAATGCCATTACTATTTTGGTATTGTAATATTTTATTTATTTAATTGATTTATTTATTTGTTTTATTTTAAAAAGGTAAGTATAATAAAAAGATTTAATAATAAAAAAATCAAATACCAAATAAAAATGTACACTTTGACTTATTTGATTATATTTGGTATTTGATTATACCAAATATATTCATATTTAGTATATACATTAAATACTTACTAAAGTATTTATTTGTTTTATTTGTCAAAGTTAAATATAGATTTGTTTATATTATCAAATCATAAAAAAATATTAAATCCATATTGTAAAAAAAAAATCATATAATTTTATAACAATTTTACTACACTATTTAACAATATTTTTTTTATTATATAATATAATAATAATTAAATATTATATGGTGAACAACAAGAAGTAAAACTGTTACTTTCTCTTATATCAAGGGATAAATTTATATGCTAAAATTAAATTTTTATTAGTATAAATGTTTTAGTGAGATAATATATTAATTATTTTACAAGCTAGCCCTAACATGCTCATATTTAATGTTTTAAAAGATGTAGAAAAAATACTTATAATAACTCTATTGCTTTTTAGACTTAAACGTTGATTAAAAGAGGTAAAAATTCCTAATTTTTTAGACTTACACGTTGATTAACACCATAGATTGAGAGTTTATATTTAGTAAAATTCCTAATTGTAATAAAAAAAAAAATTAATTTTTGCTATATTTTAGAATATCTTTAAATCCATTATAAAAAAAAAAGAAAAAAAAAACTACAATGAAAAAAACAAGTCAGCTATATATCGAATTGTTGTACTCCTCAAATCACATTCACAATTTGGCTACAAGGAAAGGAAATCCATTGATTAAAATATTATTTTGTCAGTAGTCTTAATGTACAAGAGACTTTAAGACTCCACTTGAATATTATAAAACTTTTATTGAACATTGTACAATTTTCTTGCGTATTATAAACTTTTATTGAATATTGCATCTTATAATATAATATTCTCCAAATAAATATATCTCGTGTTTTGCACAGGTCACGTAATTTTTCTTTATTCATGTATATAATTATAAGCCTGGATAAATAGCCTTAAAATTGTGCACCCCGTGCATCGCACGGGCTCTGTACTAGTTAAATTGTATATTGATATCCGAATTTATTATGAGGCTGCACACAGGGCAACTTCCTATTATCTTTTCCACATCAATGCTAGGTTTATGCGGTTTAAAAATATATGATATTGGTTAATTATAGATGTATAAAAAATATTACTAAAAGATATATTAAGTAATTGTCGAGGGGAAGTAAATCATTAAGCTTCTATCCATGTTCAATTTCTAACCTAAGCTCTATTCAATTACAGTACAATTTAAAAGATATCGGTTTTTTTTATTTGAGCGTCGGACTGTCTACGTTAGGGTCCCGCCCTTAGCGCTTTGCAGGTTGATCATGTTCGTGGTATGAGGCGATCAAAACGAAGCGGTTTGACTGACAATCCTGGTGAGTCGATATAAAGAAAATACTATAAAATGTGTATAGATATGTTAAGAATATGGACAATATATCAATAATTAAAACTTATTTTTCTTTGTTGTTTTAATTTAAATTAATAATATTATTTATTTATTAAAAAATGCACTAATAATCCTTATATTTTACCTATATAGATAAATTTTTGAAAATATTTATAATGATTTACTCTTTAGACCTCTTAATTGTAAATCGATTTAGTGATTTATAAAACTCAGTATTTAGTTGGACTGCTATATTTTTTAATGTTGATTTTTGTACTTTTTTTTCCGTGTAATCACATATTTTTAAATTTATTTATTTACTTCTCAAAAAAATATTAATTTGATAAACTTTCATCAACAAAAATGATATGCAATGTACACTCAATTTAAATGAATTTTTCAATCAAAAAACATTATTTTTCCATGGAGTTCGTGGTGGCCGGAAGGCCATGGTGTTCGGAAGGAAGTGACGACGAGGAGCTGTGGCGGCCCGGGTGGCTGCCGGTTTGCCTCAGGCGGGAGTGGGTCGGATCCTGGCCGGGACTGGAGCCAAGGTGGCCGATGTGGGAGAAGAGTTTGGGTAGCCATAGGCGCCGCCGCAGGGCAAAATTTCTCGTCGTGCGTGACTGCAAGGACAATAATTGGTCCATTAAGCTTGATTGGAACCCTGAGTTAGATGGGCAGTGATAGTTTTCTTGGCCCAACGAGATTGTATGGATGATGGTCATCGGCCCAGGTGTAAAGGCCGAA